GTTTAATTGACAATATTCTGCTGCCGCTGTATTAAATAGTTATTGGAAATCTACTGAGAAAAAAATATGTTGAATCAAATAAGAAATGAGAACGAGGCTTTTCTCTATGCGTTTATGCCTTCGATTATTATAATCTTTCCGCGTAAAACTAACTAATAAACTAACTGATAGTTGATAAGCTAGCTTATAACTTATGACTTATAGCTGAAAAGTTAGCTTATATGATAAAAATATTTGGTAAAATTAGCTTATAAGTTAGTTGGAATAAAAAATTCAACTAGCTTATTTGAAAAGCTACCTAAATAAGTTTATCGAATAAGCTCGAGTTTTTTAAAAAAATTCGTCCTAAATAAGGCTTATTTGTTTACCAAACTCTTCCAATCTGGATGTGCTTCTCATCTAACATCATAAAAATTCATTAGTTGGGGTCTAAAAACAACCCTTAATGGCGGCTTTAACCGCCACTAAATACTCTTAAAGAGGACGTCTCACGGTTCAGTATGTCACCAATACGCTGGACACTTACTCAACACTACATTAAACCAAACTCCAAACTATGCGGCACTAAATGCGCATTAGAAATGAGCACACCGTAGATTAGATGTAATCTCCCCTTCGAATCTTGGAGGGGACATAACTCTCTGACAAGAAAGTGATCGAGTTTGCTGACAATGCTTCAATCTCGAACTTGACTTCTCTATCCAGCATCAGCTGGAGCTGAGACCTTTTAAAAAAGATTGACCAAACTCTCTGATACTTCCAAAAAAATTGTTAAACTCGTCAAATGAACATATGCGGGAAAAGCAAAGGGAGAAAGTCTAACCTCCAATGTGGGACTTCCCGTTCCATGTAACACCGACTCAGCATGCTTTTGGCTTTCTGCTTATCTAACACAAGCCGAATCACAATTTCAATAAAAGAGTATTTTATTACACATGATTGTGGAAGGAACACGCAACTCTTCATCACATGTACCAGCTCACCTTCAGCCGTCAAAGGTAAGAGACACTGCTGGGGAATTTCATATTTCTCACTGTCAGATGGGAAGGCCCCGAGCCAATGCATCACAGGGAGACGAAGGGATTTCGAGTCGTAAGCCATTTGCTTCAGGAATGAAATAAATAACAGAGTGAAGAGTTATTATACGGACAGTGATGGGAACTAGTTAATTAGTTCGAAAATGTAAAAGAGCACCAAGAGATGCAAATTTAGGCCACCATTGAAAATCATACCATAGAACCAAAACGGTACGTAGTCAAGATATCTATGCCGTATGGATCACAATCCACCAAGCAATAGACAGGCAAGCACAATTTTTCAGTAAGGAGGTGCAAAAATCTGAATGAAAACAACACGGGCACAGATGTTTGTAAGGGAAGTAACTTGCAGTGAAATTAGTGGCAGTAGGGAGAGTAAAAATTTCTTTACCTTCTGGTGGGAACATCAGGGTAACCTCTTCCCTGTAAAACCAGATAATTCATAAGAACTGATTCTTAAAAAACACAGATGACACATGCATTAAAAAAATAGCTCATACAGTGATAACTATACAGCGGTTTTGTCTACAAAATTGATCGTTAGCCAGCCGCTGGAATACTGCATGAGTAAGTGGGTGCTAGTTACGAATACGAGTAACAACATATACAAATGAGTCGTGCTAGCAAATGGTAATGAATTCTTTTTTACCTGATTCTTTCTCCACAACTAAGATGTATTCTGATACAGAGATTATATCTAGTAAAAGCAACATGGAAATAATGCATCAATAAGCACATTATTATAGGGTTTCAACAACAAATTAAAGTTAACATATAAGTAAAATACTCCAGGGAAGTTAATTTTTTCCAAGTTTCATTTGTTGTTAAAAAGCATTTACAGACAAACTCCCACTAGAGCGAACAAGCTTTGTCCACTTAAGTTACGCAGGACCTTCCCAATACAAGAAAACATCTGGCAAGACCTGATACCTTCCACATCTTCTACATGGACAGGAATATGGTGCGCCTGCAGGCACAGTTGGCTTGAGTTAAAATGTCAGAGGAAATAGAGCCATCACTACTTTCAGTTCCTTTGCTTACCACATTAGGACTGCTGATGCAATCAAATACTCTTCCAGCTTCTTTAAATCTCAGCCAACCCATTACCAACCTGTATTTTAGGAAGGATTGATAGAGGGGAGAGGATACTATATGAGAAATATGGTTAGATAAAAAACATAAGGATCGAGATTAAGGAAGATAAAAAAAAAAAAAATGTAGACATCCATTTAAGTCGAAAAAATCTGAGAGAAGCTTCTAAGATTCTTGATAATTTAAAGAATATGGTAGGCTAATACATTACCATGAAGAAATCATTATGGAAAAGTCTTGGATGTTAAAGATGATGTGGTGATATTTTAGGATGCATTTCTATGAATCTCAGAAGATTGAATTAATGAGAAATGATGGTCTACATCTAAAACATGAGCTATAAATTGTTGCTCATAATGAAATAGTTAACAGATTTCAAATTTCGTGCAAATCATTAGATTGATAACAAACATATTGGATGCAAGAATGCGAAAGATTAACATGTAAAACACGATTGCTAAGAGGAATATCGTTACCAGAGAAACACTACCCCTATTCACTTTGATAGTCAAGAATTTTCAACAAAAATGTCAAAAAACCTCAATGACACAATAATCTCAATCTCAACGAATTTTCACTGTGCAATTAGCTTGATATTTACCCATTTCCAACAGATACCTGCAAATGGATGATACAGAGAAAAACATTATTATTCTGAATCAAATTGGTGCACTGGAATATCTGAAAATAACAAATAATAATATTTTGCTATCATTTTTCATTATATCTATAAACTCAGGAGAACAATTAGAGGTTAGGGAAAACAAACATAAAAATTTGGAAATGACATGATGGTATTATCAGATCTTATGGGCTGACTTTTGACGCAACAAAGTAAACAGAATATACCAAAGATCACTTAATAAAACATATTAAAATGGTTTCAAATATACAAGAAGCTCATATTATGCAACTGAAACAGTTAATCCATATCAAACAAATAAAAGTTTTGTGATGAAGTTGAAACACGTGCTGCTCAGACACGAAGAAGTATGGATGCATGTCACACATAAAGACAAAAGTTCAAGGTAAAAAAAATGGAAACTAAAATAGCTCTGAGAACGCACCACATTCAAGTTGTGGCGACTGCACTCCAGAAGAATGCAAATGTCATTAATTGCCCCATCAACTACAGATTGATCTGCTTTCCAAAAAGGAGAATTAGGTTCATTCATCTAAAAAAATGTATAAGGTACCAATCATATTGTGCTCTCTGGCAGCCATAGAGTTGCACTAAGGGCCTGATTAAGTTAGTGTCACTTTCTTAATCTAGCATTACCACATGTAAAATCATCATTAGATGTGAATCAATTATTATAGTAAAACACATAGGCCCAAATAAAGTCAAATATGTTGTGATGCAAATATCAAGTTTTGGCAGATGCAAATATTTAAACACAGACATGTTGAGGCCTGAATGCAAAGATCTTGACTAAAGAATAACCTTTGAAAAGCGAAGGGTGCATGTAATAAATATCTCGTTTCGACACATGCTTGTTTTCCAGCAGAAGTTGTTGAACTATCAGCAATACCCTTAGCAGTACATCTAAAAACAACAATAAACCATATATTAAATCTCGCCCATAAGGTTTTTGAAACCAATAGAACAAAGATTTATCACTACCGAGTTTCCTGTAACTCAATCTCGTGCTTCAGACATATTACTCACTCATCCTACGGGCTTGTTTTTCGCTACGCAGCGTGAGAATCTCCATACCTTTGGGCAAACCAAGCCTGCAGTAGCTGCATAATGGCCAGAAAAATCGTTCACAAACCAGTTCACTGTATCATAAATCAATTGTTCACTCGACTAATAACTTTCTCACATCATAATTGTTCACATACTCACGCTCAAGCATGACAATCCGTGTAAACACGGAAGGTAAAAATCAATTTTTCAATCAACAAAGAATCATCACCACCAACGATAAAACCAACAGTATTATAGCAACAAAAACTACAAGTCGATGAACAAATAATAATATAATGAAGATTCCAAACCAGTTTCCAGAAACTTCATGGCAATAGGAGCTGAACTGATTGATGTATATGGTTGGCAATCGACCGGTGCAGAGATCTTCAACAATTGATCGCGTGATCACTACAAAATACATAGTTGAGCTGATTAAATTCCAATTTAGGTTTAGATTAGACGCCGATTGTTATTTACATAAGCTGCTATTGAGATTGGACTCGCGAAGTGATTACCTCTGATTTTCCTCAGCAGGTCGACGCCGGAGCGATTGAGACTCAGAGGCTTTCCCTCCATTTCATGGATCATCATTTCTGTATTTCAGAAAGACACCAAATTGGGATATTTCACTATTTTATAGGGAAAAGTACGAGATTTTGATCGGGAATGTATTCAATGAGGACTTTAGAAATTTTGTAAAGATTTTTTGAAATGATGAATCATGTGAATTTTGTGTAATTTTTAATGATATTTGTGAATTTTTGTGAGATTGTTATGAATATTTTTTAAGAATTGGGCAAATTGCAGTTTTGATACATAAATTAAAGTTCATTTCGAAATCAGTACCCATTTTTTAACATTTGTAAAATCAATACTAAACTTTTACTCCGTTAGCAACGTTAGTACCCTGTCGTTAGATGTCCATAACGTTGCTAACAAAATGAAAGTTTGGGTACTACTTTTAAAATGGTCATTACTTTGGGTATCAAAACTGGAATTTACCCTCTTTTCTTATAAACAGTCGAAGGAGCGCTTTATTGTTGAAAAAAAATGGTACATATGCCTTATATATATAAGTTTTATCAGACGCCAAAAAAAAAAAAA